TCACTTAGTGGCTTACATTTTTTGCCGTTTCCCCTCACCCTCCCCTCCCTTGATGCGAGTTGACACCCATTGTACTGTTTAGAAAGTGACTCATACACTACCAATTAAAAGTCGACGACTTTGATTCCAGGATTTTTTGAGATATCGTTTCAGCACTGTTCAATGTCTGGCTTATTGTTGCTGTGAATAGCATCTAACGCTAACAGTGCTTGAACCGGATTAACCGCTGATCATTTTTATTGACTTTCATATCAACACATGCCCATTGAATTATCTTCATCAGCAACAGTTTTTTTGACCGTTTTACTGGATAAATACTTTTCGAAAAATGTGTTACGCATTCCGGTTCCTTTTAATTTATACGACATCCGGCCAAATGGTCCATTGCCTATGCTATTATGGGTCGTGAATTATGGATACTTTGCTGCTTGAGCATGGTCTGTGACGTTTGGGAGGAGTCGCTTAGTCATTGTAAACAAATAGTGCTCTGACCGCGAGTTTGAATGTATATGATTAGACTGTGATCGCCTGCATCAATTCTGTTACATCCAGTCCCAATATTCGTACTCTATGAAAGCCGCACACTGAGTACTATACGAAACTTTTCTCAGACTACTGAAAATATACAAGGTGACCGTTTTACTTTATGCTTTTATTGTTCTGAGCTGGTTAAGTCAACGCGCAATCATGAGGTTGCGAGTTTGACGGTATATATTAGCAAAGTGAGATGTTCTTCATTAAGAAGGTCGCAAATCGCATTCTTCTCAAGCCTTGAAATATTAAACATTTTGAAGTGCCACGAAAAGTTGTTTCATACTTTTTAGCGCTGCTGTCTGCTGACTATTTTGAAAGTGCGATGGTTCCATCGAATAAAGAATGAAAAGATCTTGTCGACGATGTTGTCTGAGAAAATGAGGGACCAGAGTCTGTCTTGGTTTGAATGAGCCATTCTGATAGAAAACTAAGATCTAGCCAAAATCATTCTCCTGTAGGATGTAAAAAGATGGCTGCAAATGCATTGGAAGCCAATGTAGTACCTTAAAGCAGCTGGCATAGACACACCTACATGCTTGCGACAACCAGTATAACCTTTGTTGCAGTAACCAACATCGCCTAATTACTCTGAAAATCCAAAGCATCACATATCATTAATATGGGTACTTGGTTTTTGACCGTGATAACAAGAATAACAACGACAACAACTTTAGCAAACGCTTGTCTCTGAATCGTTTCCGACATTTTCATAATTTGCATATGTGTGTAAAACCGTCAGTGAACAAGGTACCAATTTTTCTTCGAATATTTTAATCGAGAATTTGTTGTTGAATAACAGCGCGATTACGTCAGTTCATCAGGTCTTAGCAAGATCACGCGCTAGCGATTTTGATTTTTGCAATTTTACAACTTGTCTCTGTATCGCCTTTCACACACATCAGTAAAAACACATTACAAATCCACCGTCAAAATTTAGAATATTTGTTTTATTTCATGATTCACATTGATGATTGTGTGAAGTCATTAAGTCAGGGCATAACTATGTTTTCAAGACTTTGATTCGTTTTAACTTCCACTGACCCATTATTATCACTTTTTTCATTTAATCCGTCATACTATAATGATTGGAAATCCGTCAGTAAGCAAAATACAGAGCTTTTGTTAAAATTTATGATTTTAAGGTATATTCAATGATTCTGTGCGCTTGCACCAGACGATTTTATCAGAGCAGCATCGCTAATGCGACTTACTGTCTGTTCTGACTTATTGTATGTATGTTCTTATATATGCAGATATAATTGTATGTGTGTATTTGTATCTCTGAATGCACATATCCCATATCCAAGTTTAATTGACACGACGGCAGTGGTTCAAGTCACTGTGGTTCAGCCGTTTGATTTTTGCGTAGGTACTTAAAGGTATATTGATGAGCACCAGAGTGGTAGCATCAGTTTATGCCAGTGGCATATACCTGATACTCATACATCTTTCTAGCACATTAAATCATTGCATCTTACCAAGGTGCTGAGTTTGAGGGAACGACAGAGCTGCTCACTTGTTTTACAAAAGTTACATTTTTGATTATAAATCAAATTTAAAGTTAAATTCACATGCAACAACAACTAACTGCAGTATAATGCATTTGACATTTATGTCGCAAAATGTTGCATAATTACGCTATTTCGTAGTTAAATGCTGACCTACGGAGGTTCGATCAATCAGTTCACTCACAATTAATCATTTTTACTTAGGTCCTCGCTAAGGAACTCGATTATATCCATTTGATACAAGAACAGAATGCACAAATATTAATCATGGCAAAACATTGCATAACGAAGAGAAGGCGATGGCAATTTGCCAGACGTAATCATGATAGCCACATCTTTCTGAACAGCTGATTTTCTTCTTTGTTGGGATCGATTAAGCACCTGACAGTGAAAGAGATAAGGGACTTCCTGTAATACTCAATCCGACATTTGCCCCACAAGTGGCTTGACAGATTGCCTGAACTGTTCAGTTTCGGCACGCTTTTAGGCACTGGTGTAAAGGATAAGTTGGGTCGAACAAGATCAGCTTTCCGGGTTTAGCATTTTTTAGTCAGACTGTTCCGACATGGGTTTTCATATACAGCCTAGAAATATCACGAAGCTTTTGAAGCGATGGAGCTGTTTCACAAGGAGGCTGCTGAAGTAGATGGCGCGCCATATAGAGCCAGAGATGATATGCAAGCTGATATGTACTGTTTCACCATCTAATTCCCAATGCATAGCCTTTTCAAACAGCGCAAGATCGAAAGAGAATTTCGAACTTTTTTGATCATAGCGTTTAACCGAGGTTGCCAACTGAAATTCTCATCCACAGCCAAGCCGAGATACTTCACAATTGCTATTCTTTTGAAAGAGATGTTGAGGAACTGCAGCTTTTCTGTATCAAGTTACATTACAGTTCTATTTCTACTTCTGGCAGGGTGGAAAGCGCAGTCGCTTGAGAGCGTTCTCACTCATCCAATTTCATACTTCTTCTGCAGAAGGTAGTAAATGTAAAAGTTTTTATTAGGATTTTGCAGAGGCCAAAAAAGTGTCTTGTCTTGAGCGTAGATAAAGAATAACATTGTGAAGGCATTCCCGAAAATTAATACAGCATTTAAAGTCAAAGAAAATGTTAATCGAAATGAAGCGTTTTAATGATCCGCAGGAATTGCTTAGATCGAAGTACAGATAATTTTTCATTGATTTATTTTGGTTTCTTTTCTACTGTGGGCTAGCAGCGTAAAGGAGTTTCTTGTTCGGTCCCGATCCCCCGTCAAACTGGAAAGCCCATCGTCTGGATTCCAACGGGAAACTACACTGCGTCTTGTACATAATCCTGTCAAGTAGCCCGGGCTTTGTCGCTTGACTACTTTCTACTGCGGTTTTCTGGGAGACTCTACTTTATGATTTTTTTCTTTGCCATCATGTTTATATGTTCAAGCTATAATTGTAATGTACAGGAGGCAGTTAACAGGCGAGAGCGAATTACTGTATTCCGAAGTTTGTCAAACATTTTCACTTAAGTAAGTTCTCAATTATGTACTAAATTTGACTCATTCAGTCAGTATCCAACATTTTTATGTCGGTAATTGCCAATAGAGAAAAGCACTGCACTTTCGCCTTCATACATTGAGCAATCAGAAATTGTAAGGATATCGATGAAGCATTTTGTGATTCAGTTGATCGCCCATGTGTTAAGATGCCTTCACATCGTGACACCAATGGCTTGAAGCGGTGACAATTTTTGGAATAGAATATTCGTGCGGAGCAATGAAGAACACATAAGGAACACGAAGATCAAGGAACTAATCATTTGCTTAGATAGAACAATGTTCGATTTTCAACTTTCATGCTTATATTGAAAATGCACCAAGAATGACTATGACCCTGATATGAGAAGATTAATATAATAGGCTTGACCCTCTTCCTTCATTCTTGAGGTAAAGGATCGTTGCGGATCTTGCTTCGGATTTAACGGTGTCTGCATGTTCCTTGAATCCAAAATAAACGATGTAAATAATTAAAGCAAAATTCGATTTTTAAGTTAAATATTATTTGTAAATTTCAGTTCCTATCAGTGCTTAAGTCTCATAGGAAATTTTCTTGATGGAACATCTAACACTTTGTTTCCATTTTCTTCCTTGTGATTGTTCTAAGGGGTGTTAGTTGTACAGACTGAACGATACTCATAAGAGAACTTTAAGTCAGGGTAAGGAACTAGATATGTATTGATTTTCCGCTGTAAGTTGCATGGATTCAATTTATAGAGAGAACGTTAGTTGTGCCTGTGACTATTGAATTCGTACCACTTGCATTCATCAAGATAGAATCGAAATGAATGAAATTTTCGAAGCCACTGGCGTGGATCATAGTTTTATAATTTACATATGATTTTGTAGGTTGTACTCCAGATTTCCAAGCGCGAGTTGGATAAAGAAGACGGTAGCCCTGGTGACGGTAGCCGCGTTCCGGTTGAAAAACTGGCTTTCAGTGGTAGTTTCTCTGTCGCCGTCGCCTGCAATGGGAG